GTCCCGCTAGATGCATCAAGAAAGATCATACCTCCCTGGTCCGCTTGTATCGCTTGCAAGGTCTATTCATAAGCATTTGCTTGATTTGGCACCAGGTGGGGCTCATTTTCTTCAACAAAATTCACCAGAACTTCAACTGACTAGTCTGTCTCTCTGGGCAACTCCCTGTTTGCAGCTACTGGTTCTTCTCGGTTTGGGGAAGGCAATCCAAAATCAGTCATGTTTTTTCCGCATAACTTCATCACTTTGTCTTCCAGCATGATCAGAGCCCTGTTGAACATGTCATCCATGAACTCAATCTCTTGACCAGGATGTTCTCTTCTTGCCTGATGAAGCAGATCCTCTGAAAGACTTTCTTGGTGGTTTTTCCAGAGCTGGCTTGGGTTGGAAAGTCCACATGTAGCAATCATGATGGCAAACAGGTTCCTCATTCTCATTGGCGATTGAGTAGCTGATACCTCTTCTAATGTGTCATTCCAGTGACCACCATCTTCCAGTAGGCCAAGGAGATTGCACGCTTCCTGATAGGTTCTGCAGACTTGTCCATTCACTGTCTTGAGTGCTGCATATGATGTTGGGCCACGGATGTGGTGCAAAATTAGTCTCAAACAATAGCATTCAAAGTTGTTGGGGTGAACCGTGTAGACACGTCCCAAAGCATTGCCTGACTTTATCCATGGATATTCTTCAACATCGGATCTTTGAGCTCTTCTCTGGAACTTTTTCATTGAACCTGCCATATGTAGAACTTGAACTTGGGTACGACACACACACACACACACACACACACACACACACACACACACAGAACGTTGTTTGGGGGATAATCGGTATCATGCCCGTTATCAAACAAGGTGGTACTACCGCCTGTGAAGATATTGGAAGCATAATATATTGTCTAATGGTAGACCCTGCTGTCATATGGAATCACAAAAATTGTGCTCAAATCCAAGGTTGCTGATCAGACTGACTTTCTGCCTCTTTAACACATAATCGCAGGGTCTAAATTGTTTCTCTTATTTTGACAACACAACATTTGTATGCATCCCTGGAGCGTGAAATTGTCACTCCAAAGGTGGGTTTCGCCAGTAGAGAGAGGTCAGGGTAAGTGGGAGTCAAAAAACAAGCAGGTTCTGGGGAAATAATTGGTTACTCAGGACAAAGGGTAAAACAGGGCCAGGGAAGGGTAGGTTTAAATATATACTATACAAACAGTAGGAGCGTTAGAAATAAAATAGACTTGCTGAGAGCGGTTGTATGTACCAAGAGTGTAGACATCATAGCAATCACCGAAACTTGGATGAATCTGGCGAGCAAGAACTTTTTAACAGAGTACCACATAGAAGGGTAAAACCTTTTACACAAGGACAGGGAAGGTAGGAAGCGGGGGGGGGGGATCGCACTCTTCGTCAGGGATACATTAAAATGTTGTATAAATAATTCAATAAAGGGTGAAATAGGAACCGAGTTTGTATGGGTAGAAATTGCGGAAGGAGCAGAAAAACTAATTATGGGGGTGATTTACAGGCCCCCCAAGTCTTGGGAAAGAAGTAGCTCAGCCCATATGGCAGGAAATGAGTAGGGCAGCAATATACAACAACCTGTGAATTATGGGGGATTTCAACTTCAGAAATATTGACTGGGACAACATTTTAGGTGACTATGAATCTGAAGATTTCCTAGACGCAGTACAGGACAATTTTTAAAACAACTAATTACAGAATTCTACTACAGGTGACAATATATTAGACCTAGTATTAACAAATAAATAAAATATTATCAGGGATATTACAATAGGGGAAGAACTAGGGAACAGTGATCACAGAGAAATCAGGTTCACCCTAAATTGGGAAACGAAAAACAATGACAATATGGTCAGAGTCCCAGACTTTCTATCAGCGGATTATGAGGGGTTAAGAAGGTACCTAGGTGAGGTCACCTGGGAACAGTCAGGTCAGTCCCTGGTAGGAATGGGTGAGGTCACCGACTATAATATATTCACTAGTATACTATGTAAAGCACAGGAACAAAATATACCATACATAAAAATTAGGTCGAATACGAATGATCCAAGGTGGACGACCAAAAAACTTAAACATGACATAGGAATAAAGAAAGGAATTTTTAAGAAATTAAAGGGAGGGGAGGAGCAGCTCAGAAATAGGAATGTTAAGAAAAATGTAAGGAAGGCAAAGAGAGACTACGAAATCAGGATAGCAAGAGAATCCAAGGCAAATTCCAAGGGATTTCTCCAGGTATATAGGACAAAGGTCAAGGACAAAGTGGAGTCTTTAAAGTCAGAGAGAGGGGAAGTGATCGATAATAGTGAGAAAATAAGCAAAGCATTAAACAGCTACTTCTTATCAGTTTTCACAGAAGAAATTCACGAGGAAATGCCAGAGGTGGAACTGATATTTAGGGGAAATGAGGAAGAGAAATTAAAGAATATCACTATCAGAAAAGAGGATGCTCTTAAGAAGATAAATAAATTAAAGAAGACAAAATTCCCAGGACTGGATGATATTTTCCCTCGTGTTTTGAAAGAGTGTAAGGAACAGATTAGTGGACCCCTCGTAAATTGATTTACAAAATCATTAAACACGGGAGTTGTGCATACTTGTGGAAACAGGCAAATGTAGTACCCATATTCAAAAAGGGAGACAGAGCATCAGCGTCAAATTACCGGCCGATTAGTTTCACGTCAGTAGTGGGGAAATTTCTTGAATCAATTGTAGCAAATAGCATCCGATTGCATTTAGAGAAAAACAAATTATTCTACGACTCTCAACATGGGTTTACAAATGGAAAATCTTGTCTAACAAATCTGCTGACGTTTTTTAGGAAAGTCTTCGAGGTAGTAGATAATGACGAAAATTACGATGTAATTTACTTAGACCCTAGCAAAGCATTTGACAGAGTACCGCATCATAGGCTTCTCAGGAAAGTTAAGGCTCATGGTATCGAGGGGAAAGTTTTAAATTGGATAAAATCATGGCTCACCGATAGAACACATAGGGTCAGCGTAGATGTTGTTAAATCTGAGTGGGACTGTGTAACCAGTGGGGTTCCGCAGGGGTCAGTACTGGGCCCACTCTTGTTCATAATCTACATAAACGATCTAGATACTGGGATCAGCAGTGACATAAGCAATTTTGCGGATGATACCAAAATGGGGTGGCAGATTAATTCAGGGCAGGATGCAAATGCACTTCAAGAGGATTTAAATAAACTGCAGGAGTGGGCAGAAAAATGGCAAATGAAATTCAACACCAGCAAGTGCAGCGTACTTAATATTGGAAGAACAAATAGTGTCAATGTGTACAGCCTTAACAACATCAACGTAGAGAAGTCGACTTGTAAAAGAGACTTAGGGTACTTGTAAGCCCGGACCTACGGCCTAGAAAACAGTGCGTTAATGTTCGAAATAAGGCAAACAGAGTATTAGGTTTTATATCTAGAAGTGTAAGTAATAGGAGTACGGAGGTCATATTGCAACTATATCTTGCACTAGTCATGCCACACCTCGATTATGATGTTCAGTTCTGGTGCCCTTATTATAGAATGGATATTAATTCACTGGAGTCGGTGCAGCGAAGAATGACGAAAATGATTCTGGGACTTAGAAACCATCCATATCAAGATAGATTATATAAACTAAACTTGCATTACCTAGAAAGACGAAGAGTGCGGGGAGATATGATAGAAGTATTTAAGTGGGTGAAAGGAATCAATGAAGGATATAGATAAAGTTCTTATAATATCCGAGGAGGATTGTAATGGGCCCCTGTCTCATCAACAGAACATATTATATAAATGGGTCAATACATCTGATATTATACTCACATTCACCACCCTGTAATTTTCCACTGGCTATGAGGTGACATGTTCAATGCACGTGATAAAGTGTGCCCACGAGAAGCTGCGTCATACTATGCTGAGTAAAGGCATAAGTAGCCGGCTCTCTGGCCACCTAAAGCGAGCAGTAGTTTGATATCCTTAACTAGAGGAAGACGTTATTTGAGAGCCGCAGTGGATGGCTCCGTCTTCCCTCGAGGGGGAACGACGTACCCATACCGTTCTCCCTCGATGGGTCACTACTCATGAGTCGCTCACATCAACTTATATCGTAAGGACGTGACCTAACGTTTATAATACATAAACGCCGTCCCTTTCTCATTCACTCATATACAGTGGGACTTACGGTCGATCTACACTCAGGAATTATATATACAATCCTTTTATAATAAAACAAGGAACTACCGTTGGGGTTTCGTTACTTAAACCCAAATAATAAATATATGTGAACGGCCTGGTTAATTGCACAAGCAGCCGATTCAGGATAGGTCTCGTAGCAACGGATTTAAGTTGGATAATTTTAGGTTTAGGAGGGAGATAGGAAGGAATTGGTTCACAAATAGGGTGATAGACGAGTGGAATAAGCTTGGCAACTTTGTAGTAAGTGCTGGAACGCTGGAAAGTTTTAAAAGGAGGCTAGATAGGAGCTGCCATGCACAGGCCAACCGGCCTATTGCAGACTCCTTATTTTCTTATGTTCTTATTTCGTTTTTTACTCTTCATCTGTTTTATTTTTTCCATTTCTGTATTTATTTTTCATGATGCAAGTTGTTTCTTCTGTTACTTTTTCCCGCCCCCAAAACCCGATGTTGGTCAATGACCTGTGCCCGGTGGTCTAATCTGTATTAAAATTGCATGGGATATCTTATGATCTGGCTCTTGCAGACTAGGTATATTTAAGCCATCATAATTTATTGAATAATTTCATCCACTTATTGAAGTATAACAAAGTCTAGGTTAACTTTTAGTTATATATACATACATACACACACACACACACATACATATATATATATATATATATATATATATATATATATATATATATATATATATATATATATATATATATATATATATATATATATATATATATATATTTCCCAGCTCTTTTCCTAACCCGCCTTTACCCTTGTTGCACCTACCCTTAAGCTGGGTTTTGGACATGTTGGTGCCAAGGGAATGCTTGGCCACCATAGACGTCCTCTTGGCCTTGTCTGTGGCGTCATTCCTCCGTGCAGCCACATCCCCCTGAGCATCACCACTTAGTGTTGGGTTCGTCATCCTGGAGCAGAAACAAAACATGATAATCCATTCTCACATCATACCAAGAATTATATATTGCCCCTAATATATCCCGGAATAAATCCCATTTTATCATCAATACTTGACTAATTACTAATCGTTATCTTATAACTGGAAAAACTTTGAAATAGTGAATACATTAATTAAACCAAGAAAAAGATGTATGGCAATTGAGATGCTAAGAATGAATGATTATATATATATATATATATATATATATATATATATATATATATATATATATATATATATATATATATATATATATATATATATATATATATATACACAGTATGAAAATTTGAAATGTGTGAGCTTACTAGTGGAAATGGACAGATGACTTGTAACACGGAAGATTAGGAATGGAGGCGGGATAGCAATCTATGTGGAATTAATAAGAAAATAAAGACTGAATTGAATACAGAAACAATATGGTAGAATTAACCGATAGTAGGCAAAAATTAATCATTGGAGTAATATATAGGCCTCCTAGTCTTGCAAAGGTCGAAGGGCAACTTATTTGGAATGAAACATGTAGGGCATCCAGACATAGCAAAGTCTGCATCATAGGCAACTTTAACTTCAGTCAAATAGATTAGACTGAATTTACGGGTAACTCCAAATCAGTGGATTTCCACGAAACAGTTCAGTGCTGTTCCCTAACTTAACATACCTCGTATAGCCGAACCCAACAGGGGTAATAATATTCTCGATTTAGTTGTGTCAAACTAGTTCAGGCTCTGTGATACACTTTTGTATATACTTTTGGGTGCCCGAATTTTGACACTTGATTTTACTTATATGACCTTAAAGATTCAATAATAACACAGTTATATTTTTGTATATTGGAGACGTTCGCCCGCTCGGGACTAAATCAAAGATGGCCGTCATTATACAAAGGTAAACATGGAGCCAGCTATAACTTTGGATCTAGAATGCGTATAATGACAAACTTGGTATAAATTTCGGCTATCTTTGAGGTGCCTGATACGTTGGACATGTCTATTTTACGATCGGCCATCATCTGCAACCGAAAATCCAATATGGCCGCCAATGCTGAGCACCAAAATATTCAAAATAATGAAATGACCTGACATAACTTGCGGACTAGAAGTAGTAGAAATGGTGCGAATTATCGAATTAAGTAAAAATTATCATATTCTTTATCGGGGTGAATATAATGAAAATACATCGAATACAACCATCTTCAAACAATCATAAGATCATAACAATGACTGTACCTGTAATGTAATCAATGACATTTACAAAACCTTTATGAAATACATGAGCAGAAACAATTTTTAATTGGGTTTCTTGCCTTAGAACCTATGCTTCATAACAATAATAGTGCAGGTACCACATACCGGGTGAAAATTTAGGCGTGTTAGATATTTCCCATTACATGTTTAAGAACATAACATTTAATGTGTACAAATACTAGTGTCTGATGCACCCAGACTTCATCCTAACATAGAAAGTTAAAGGTACAATATGATATTATGGGGTTATGGAGTAGTAGAGGTTAACTGCTTTAGAAGTGGTTTTCTTTCTTTTCTAAACAAAATCACACAATGGACGCCATTAGACGTGCAGCCACAGCAGTTGGCGTCACACTTACCACTGCATTCACCGGCTCTTAAAAGTTACATGGGTAATAGTTTGAGGCACTTAGAAACCTTAAGAGAATCCTCCATATTATCCCATCCAAAATTAATCGGCTGCAACATTTTTCCATTCTGATTGTCAAAAAGGGTGACCCCGGATCACACTTGAGGCAGAAGGCAGCTCACCGAGTGCTTTGAACGTGGGACTTCGATTATGACATTCAATTCACAACTCATCAGACGTCGAGACCGTCGGTTTGGAACTTGAGCCTGACTATATTTGAACAAGGAAAAGCTCCATCATCTGGATATCTTGTGCGCTGTAGACGGAGGACTCAAGGTTGGCTAAATAAGCCAGAGGGTTGCCTAGCATGGCACCATGCTTCATAACTATTTTACTTAGGGCATCACCACATGTTCTTTAACAAGCACCTGACAGAGTGCGAAATCTAATTTCTTAGGTAGATTGTGTAAAGGTATATGTTGACGCTTTTCACCCACCCCAAAGTGGACCCAAGGACTCTTTCAGACCCTAGTTCATTACCCTCGTTACTAATCAGCGTAGCGGAGCAGCAAATTACCTCTACGACACGCTGGCACCGCCTCTCAATAGCCCATTTGGTGTGTGGAATGATGTGGGCATCTGACTCCTCCAACTAGTCGCTGAGTTCAGCCAGGTCGGCAGAATGGACTACAGGCTGTCCTTAGGGGCATATTTGATGGAAGGGCTTCATCGTTTATGAGTATGCCACTCAGTACCAATTTTATGTCCTTGACTTCACACATGACAATATCACGTTCAAGCAGCATTAAGTTCAATTTGTTGTAGCTCTCGGTCCAGAATTTCTCAATCAATTGCGGTAATGAGATAGTTCCGTCCATCACGGACTCAATTTGTGCCAGCCTGACGACTACGCTCGCACTTTTTAATCGACAGTTCACTGTATTGTTTGTATATGGAAGTCGGCTTGCTAGATGGACTGATCAGCTGACCCTCTGTGTTCTATCGGTAAGCCATGACTTTATCCAATTTAAACCTTTCCCCTCGATACCATGAGCCTCAAGTTTTCTCAGAAGCCTCTGAGGCGGTACTCTGCCAAACGCTTTGCTAGGGTCTAAGTAAATAACATCGTAATTTTCGTCATTATTTACTACCTTGAAGAATTTCCTAAAAAACGTCAGCAGATTTGTTAGACAAGATTTTCCATTTGTAAATCCATTTTGAGAGTCGTAGATTAATTTGTTTTCTCTAAATGCGATCGGATGCTATTTGCTACAATCGATTCAAGAAATTTCCCCACTTCTGACGTCAAACTAATCGGCCGGTAATTTGACACTGATGCTCTGTCTCCCTTTTTGAATATGGGTACTACATTTGCCTGTTTCCACAAGTCTGGCACAACTCCCGTGTCTAATGATTTTGTAAATAAATTTACGAGGGGTCCGCTAATCTGTTCCTTTCACCCTTTCAAAACTCGAGGGAAAATTTCATCCGGCCCTGCGGATTTTGTCTTCTTTAATTTATTTATTTTCTTAAGAACATTTTTTTTTCTGATAGTGATATTCTTTAATTTCTCTTCTTCATTTCCCCAAAATATCATTCCACCTATGTCATTTCCATGGGAATTTCTTCTGTGAAAGCTGATAAGAAGTAGCTGTTTAATGCTTTGCTTATTTTCTCATTATCAACGATCACATCCCCTCTCTCTGACTTTAAGGGACCCACTTTGTCCTTGACCTTTGTGATATATACCTGAAAAAATACCTTGGGATTCACCTTGGATTCTCTTGCTATCCTGATTTCGTAGTCCCTCTTTGCCTTCCTTACATTTTTCTTAACATTCCTAGATAGTTCATTATACCTATTTCTGAGCTGCTCCTCCCCTCCCTTTAATTTCTTATAAATTTCTTTCTTTATTCCTATGTCATGTTTAAGTTTTTTGGTCATCCATCTTGGCTCATTCTTATTTGACCTAATTTTTCTGTATGGTATATTTTGTTCCTGTGCTTTACGTGATATACTAGTGAATATATTATAGTCATGATCAATTTATGTGTCGCCGGTGACCTCACCCGTTCCTACCGGGGACTGACCTGACTGTTCCCAGGCGACCTCACCTAGGTACCTTCTTAATTCCTCATAATCCGCCGATCGAAAGTCTGGGACTCTGACCATATTGTCATTGCTTTTCGTTTCCCAATTTAGGGTGAACCTAACTTCTCTGTGATCACTGTTCCCTAGTTCTTCCCAATTGTGATATCTCTGATAATATTTTTTTTTATTTGTTAATACTAGGTCTAATATATTGTCAACTCTAGTAGGAACTGTAATTAGTTGTTTTAAGAAATTGTCCTGTATTGCATCTAGGAAGTCTTCAGATTCATTGTCACCTATAATGTTGTCCCAGTCAAATATTTCTGAAGTTGAAATCTCCATAATGCACAGGTTGTTGTATTTTGCTGCCCTACTCATTTCTTGCCATATGGGCTGAGCTGCTTCTTTCCCAAGACTTGGGGGGCCTGTAAATCACTCCCATAATTAGATTTTCTCTTCCTTCCACAGAAGGAATGGCAGGATGTACCACATCCAAGACTTCTGTTTATAAAAACATAAAGAGAGAGAGAGAGACTGTGACCGCAAGACTGAGGGGCTGAGAAGAATAATTAATCCTGGGTACACGGTGCACGGTGGACGGACGATTGATCCACGAGACGTTTGGAACGTTTGGCTATGGGACATGACCCCTGGACGTTTGGGCCATGGTGGTTAGTACATTTGGAATTGGGTCAAAGTAATCTGTCTTAATCTGTATTGTATCTTGACATATGATGTGATGTGATGTGATGACCTGAAGGTTCCTGACTGGAAGTGTAATGATTGAATATCAGACCAAAGCTTACAGCCCAGAATTACATCACACACAACAGCAAGTACAGGCAGACTGTGTGGTACCCTAACACCATAAGTTGACACACGGCAGGTCAAGACCTGACTCCGGCCTAAGTACTTGCGTAACCCTACAATATAACCGTGTTAAGGAAACCACACCTGGCCAAGACCCACCCGGGCGGTAATAATTACATGCACTATTGTCCTGCGACATGACCTCACCTGGGCAAACACCTGTCCAGACCTGACCCGAGGGAGATCAAGGACCCGCTAATCAGCCAGCACCCCTGTTACCCAACCCATTAACTCGGTCAAGACACACCCACTTAAGTAGGAGAGGTCACCCTCCGGCTCCTCCAATATATAGGGGCTGGAGCTCCTCCCACTTACAGTCTGATAACCAAGGAGGGCTAGCAACCACGTCCCCTGTCCCGCTCATCAAAGAAGTCCGTCACTAAAGGCAACGAGGTCTCCGCCGGGTCCATC